TGAAGAGACCCAATGAGTTCATCCACCTTTAACTTGCTGACATCCTGGGCTTCCTATATAGCAGTTACCTTCATTGCAAATCTTTTAGGCAGGGATCTGAGAATCTTTCTCACAAGTTTTTCTTTAGACATCTTTTCTCCCAATGCTCCTGAGGTGTTGGCAATCTCCAAGATGTTCATGTGAAACTCATGAATGGTTTCATCTTCCTTCATCCTTAGGTTCTCAAACTTGGTAGTCAGCATCTGAAGCCTTGACATTTTTACTTTGGATGTGCCCTCATGGGTAGTTTTGAGAGTGTCCCACACTTCCTTGGCCAGTTCACATTGATGTACTAGTCTGAATATGTTTCTATCAATTCTATTGAACAAGACATTTAAAGCTTTGGAATTACCCAGGGCTAACTCATCTTCTTCTTTGCTCCATTCTTCCTCAGGCTTCAGACTGATTGTCCCATCTTTCTCACTTATGGTGGGATGGATCCATCCTTTGTCAGCAGCTCTCCAAGCCTTTTTGTCCAGTGATTTTAAGAAGGCAATCATACGAGGTTTCCAGTAGTCATAATTTGTTCCATCCAGAATGGGTGGTCTATTTCCAAAAACTCCTTCTTTGTCCATAGTTCCAGAAAGTGATATCCCTAGATCTCACCCAGTATTACAGGCAGGGTGCCTGCTCTGATGCCAATTGAAATTCTGGCAGCAGATACTCAATGTCATAGTGAATGTTATGACACCGTATCTGACTTTCTATAAGACAGTAAATAAAAATAGTAAAGAACACAGTCAATTGTTTACCCAGTTCAGTGTGAAACAACACCTACTCTGGGGGCTACCAAGCCAGGGAGGAAATCCACTATAAGAGATATTAATTCAGGAATAAACCAACCAGTTTATCTCCTTCACTTAAGACCTACCCAATGCAACTTCAGTCTAAGTTCTACTTAAACCTGAGTTCCTACTCACTCCCCCTCAATCACAGCAGTGATACTTAAAACAATTGACTAATGAATTAATGAAGACACTCTTCAGAACATACACTTGATTACGCTTCACAGCTTTTTAATCAAGTAACACAAACACTCTTGCTTCACAGCTTTGAGTGATACATAAACCTAACTTGACTTTGCTTCACAACTTTAGTCAAGAGACACAAACACTCTTGCTTCAAAGCTTCGAGTGATACAAAAACCATTACAATCAAAACCTATTCCAAGTCACTTATCACAATGATACTTGCTTGGATTACAGCAGTTAAAACTATACAACTCCTAATTGATCTTCAGTCCAAAGAGATATTTTCCAAACAGCAATCCTGTTGAATATATAGCAGCTGTTTCTTCAGTTAGGGTTTTCACAAAAAGCTAGGGTTAATTAGGTTTAACCTTAAGACTTGGTCACAAGACTTTATCAACCAGATTAGGGTTGAGCTAGGTTAACCTAAAGTCCACGTGAGATTCTGTTCTAGAAAGAATGAGCCATCTTCCTGAAAAATCTCAGAATTAACCAAACTGCATATCTGTTAGATCAGTACAGGATGTCTTAACATTTGTTATGACATCAGAATTCCTGTTTATTGATTTTGGTAGAAGGCAATAAATGTGATCTTTTGCAAAATGCTCAGATACACACTCATACACAGTAGCTACTGTATGCCATACTTTTTCTGCATAAAGAACCTAATAATCCAGAATGTTATGACATCAGTCATGACATTTACACACCTGGTTTTACCAAAAATACATGCCAATAACTAAACACTTACATTAACGAATCGCTAATTTTAATTCTCTCAATTCAAATTAACTTGTAATTGAAGTAAACAAGTATTTGATGACAACCAAAATTATATCGACCAAAATGAATTGAAAATTTTACTTTAACCCACCACAATCAACAATTCCTTCATGAATTGAAATTAGAAGTCAGACTATATTTAAGTCAAGAATTGACCTATAACGTTTCGATAAGTTTCAAAATCTTCTAAGCACAATTTGACTCTGGTCCTTGAAGAAAACATGTAAATGACATTCCTTATGACAATATGCAAAAATAATCGTCTCAAGATCTTAAAAATTGAGAAAGTTATGATTCTTGGAAGTCAAACAACAATTACTTGAGATTAGGTCAAAGTCCACAAAGTGACCTTTAAAGTATTCAAACTTTCAGTGATCTTACACATATAATTAGCCATTGACTTAAAGTTAAGGTTGAGAGGATGTCAAAAAGAACCAGATGCCCAAAGAATCACTCAAAAATGTTGAATATCGAAGAAGTTATGATCTTCTGAACTTGGCCTTGAAAACGTTGACCTTTTGGTCAAAATGCTTTGAATCAACTTATAAACTTGATCTTCCCTTGTATTCCAAGACACGTTGATGCACATATGAACCCGTGATGGTGAAATCTTGATTGTGCTTTGAGATTAGAGGTTATGCTTTAATGAAATAACCTTTGAGAATCAATGATTAACCATCACTAAACATTTGAGGGATCCAAAACCCTAGCCGAGGCACAATGCTGGATGCTTTTGATTCAAATATGTCTTTGTACTGGAAAGCAAAGAAACAAAACATATATAATTGTATTTGATTAGAGGTTAGTGATACATAAGATAAGATATTCACAACACTTGATAATCTCTGCATAGGAAATGCTAAAAGGTGAGAGGATTAAAAACCAATTGTGTCTCGTGACCTTGATGTTATGTTAAGACGTAAATGAAGGTTGGATCTTAGGGGTAAAAATTAGGTTATGACAACTGCCCCTACTTAAGTTTCTTCTATCCAGAGGTATGAAAATTGAAATCTTCATCTTGATGTGATTTGAGATACTTAAATACAAAATGCACAATTTTTGGCCCTAAGATACCGCAACGACTCTTATGATATGATATGAATGCAAGACTATGAATTTTATGGGGAATGATACCATAGAAGACAAACTACTACTGGAGAAACCAAGCAAAGGATAAAGGAACTCCATAGGGGAATCACAACAAAGTGAAAGTGAGATCTTAGGGGTAAAAATTAAGATATGATAGAAGTTTATTGCAAGAGTTCATCATCTGAGGATGGACAATAATAACTCAATGGATCTGTCTAATATTGATCGATATGGAACTTACTCAAGCTACAAGTATTTGAATGGCTTGAAGCCAATATAGCTATTGGAAGATAATTTGTTGAAGAAAAGGTCAAGGTCACTATTGAAGCTCTCTTCGAATGGGTAAGCCTAATGACAGAGAAGGATTTAGTAAATTTTGTTTCAATGATTTTATGTGATTTTAGGCATTTCGTAAGATAAAATAAAAGAAAAAGATAAATTAAGATGAGAGAGAAGAGTCCTAGGTGAGAAAGTGAGATAAAATTATGTGACATTGTCACAAAGAAGTTATTGAATCCCAACTCCCTAATAACAAACATGTAAGAAGGGAATATGATTCTCTAACGTTAGAGCAATAAAGGTATAGTGCCTTTTATAGTTTTTGCACTATTGAATTAATCAGATAAATTTGAAAGAACCACGTCATGCTTTTCTATTTAAGAAAAAAAAGCTTAATTATAATTTTGGTCTCTTTATTTTTAATTTTTTTGAATATTAATTCCCCTATTTTAAAATCCAATTTTTTGTCCCGTTTTTCTTTTTTTGGATTTTAGTCTCCTTTCAAAAATTGAAGTCAAATTTAAATAACATAATAGTTAAATTGATGATGTGTCATTACCACATATACATATGTAATAATTAATTCTACGTCATTCTTTTTAAATATAATTTTTTCTTTTTAAATATAATTTTTTTAATAATTTGAAATTTAAAGCATAAATTATATAAAAACTTAAGAAAATAAAATTATAGAATGCTAGTTTGTATCGACCCCTTGCATAGAAATATAATGAACCTTGTCTTGCCAACCGTTACATGCAGCTTTTTATAGTGCAGACGTACAACAATTAAATTATATAAATCCAAACCTAAAACAGAAATTAATAGCTATATGATATTACACTATAAAAATGTCCATGTTTTTTAAAAAACCACAAAATATTACACAGTTTGATACATTATATATGAAAAAAATAAGTGGAAGTTATTAATTATACTTTTTTTAAGTAATAAGAAATTAAAAATATGGAAAATATTTAAATACATTATATATGAAAAATAGAAGTAGAAGTTATTAAATAGATTTTTGAGACAGTAAATTATTACTATTAAATAGATTTGTAAAAATGAATAAGTCACTTGAAAACCATCATATATATGAATAATTTTATTAATAATCATTTATATAATAATTTTAGGTCTTGAATAATTCATTTTTAGTTAATTCTAGATCTTGAATAATTTATTTTAAGTTAATTTTATGGTGTAATATTAATTTCCATTTGTAGTATGTATTTATATATTTCAATTGTTCTTTATATAAATAAACTATGTGGTTCAGTTGGTTAAATATGGTTTCAGGTTATTGTATAGCAAGGGAAGGTGTTGGACTCTATTTGTCTCATGTTTTATGTTTTTTAAGATTTTAAATAAAGGGATTGAAATTTAAAATTAAAAATTAAAAATAGAAGGATAAAAATTATAATTAAACCTAAAAAATAAAATAAGAAACATTCAAGTAGCTAGTAAAAACAGTCAAAACCAACAGCTTCATGAATATGCATCTTTTTGCTTCCTCTTCTTGATCTTACAAATTGAAATGGTTTCAATTTGGCTAGATGCGATAAAAATAATTGCTTATTTTTATGTTGAACAAATTTGATAATGTAAATCTCAGATCTAAATTAGCATATACATTTAAACGGAGATTGATGATTAAAAAATAGAAAATGATTACTTGCACTATAAGAAAAGATAATTATTATTTGCGTTCAAATCAATAAGAATCATCTATTCAAAGATATATCATCATATACAATACAAAAAAAAAAAAAAATCATATATCATTTTCATTGTTCACCATAATCAAATTCATTGTTTTCTTCACACATATCCCTCTCATTACACCATTTTCTCCGACAATAAGGTATACAACTTACCCAACAAAATAAAAAACACAAGACTAGTGATAAAATGCCAACACAAACTCATGTTTAGGCCAAAACTCTTTTTTCTACTCTCTCCAACTTCTTGCCTCACCTCAATTCCATTCATCGAAAGGTTTGGATTCAATTCAGAAAATGAACCCGAAACATGACTACCTTGTGAACTAGTTGAAGTCGTAGAAAATGATAATGTAGAAGAGGTAATTGCAGGTAAAGAATGAGATGATGGTAATTTAGTGCATGAATTGCTTCTTTCTTGTACTTGTTTATCATTTGTGTTTGTAATATTGTTGTCACCTTCTCCTTCTATGTTGCTCAATCTTGATTTTCCCCAACTGTTCTTGTTCTTGTTTGTTTTAGTTCTATTAATAATTTTCTTGCCCTACAAGAATATCATAAATATTAACCTTTTTAGACATTCTGTGTAGATTTCACATAATTTAACGGTCACAAAAAATACGATTGTATTTGTCACGGTTTAATTAACCGTGACAAATTTTGAATTATGTGTATAACTCATTTTATACGTTTTTAAAAATAAAAAAGAAAGAATAAATGTGAGGAGAAAAGAGTAAGAGTACCAATGAAGAATGATTCAAGGCCGCGATTAAAGTCTGACGAATTCGAAGAGATTTTTGTTTACCCATCTTTCTCCTTTGACTTGGAGTTCCATCTCCGGAGCCACATTTAGCGGCAGTCAAAAAGGACGACAAAATGGTAGGCAAGACCCTGCCTTGCTTCTCGGCCAAGGCAATGTAACTAAGAAGGGGGTCACTAGTTTTCTCTTTTCGACGCGGTGGCTGGTCGACGACATTGTCTGGTTTGAAACACTTGAACAAATGGTGTTTGCTTTTGTTTTTACGAATTGGTTTTGTTTCTGTGGATTCCATGTCTTGATAAGTTTTTGTGGTGGGAGGATTGTGTTTGATGATTGAAGAGGGTGTTTGAGGATATGAGAAAATGATGGGAAAAAAATGTTGTTTTGTGTGTTTGATGCGATGTGGGGGATGTTTTAGATTTGTGTCCGTTATTGTTGCCGTTGTTCAATTCCTTACGAACAAGTGTTATGTAAAATTCTAAAAATGGATAAACATATGCCTTCAATTTTATGATTAGGATTTGGATTAGCAGGTTTTTGTTTAAATTTATCAACGAATCACTCATAATTTTAGTCATATTCTTGTCGCCAACAAAAAAAGGGAACATTTTAGGAACGGATGCTTTGTAGAATAATTATATTAAAATAATTAAATATTAAATAATAACATAATATTAAATGTGGAATAATAGATAGTTTTTTCAAATTAAATTTAGGACACCATAGTATGAGATAAAGAAATATAATTTGTCGTACTTTTTTTCTAGAAATTTATTATTAATAACACGGTGGTGATTAGGATGATTAGGGGAAAACTATCTTTCTCGTTGTATTTTATAGATGGTTAAATTTCAAAATAGACGACATCGCAGGTTTGGAAATCGAAAGTTCTTACCACAACTCTATATTTTAGAATGTTTGGCTATTTAGAGAGACGCAAATGGTCTTGTCAAGTTAGTTGATAGTGTTTGACAGATCTGAACAAGATAACTTGGATCAGAGAGGATTTCATATTGAAGAAAAAGATAAACAAATTAGTTCTAATGTCAATCAATGCCTCCACAAGGTTACAAATGCCCATTTCACAGCGGCTGTAAAAGTGTTGGGATCATCCGGAGTGACCCTGTATAATGGATATACAACAAAGACTTTGGAGGCTAAACATCCATACAAACCACCTCCCTAAATGCCAACCACCTTGTTCTCTGAAGCTCCCTTATAGGCTGATGTTAATACTATCTTCAAGTGTATTAAATCATTTCCCAAAGAGACATCATGTGGTAGAGATGGTTTGTATGCCCAACATATATTAGATATATTGTATGGAAAATGTTATGTTGTGGCACAAGATCTTTTATATGCAATCACACTAGTTATTAACTTATGATTAGGGGGAAGATGTCCCGTGATTTTGGCAGAGTTTGCTGCCTATGCACCCTTGATACCGTTATTAAAGGTTGATGGTGGGATACATCCAATTGTTGTTGGTTCTATTTGGAGGAGGTTGGTATCCAAGGTTGCTATGAAAGGGGTCAGTAAAGACGTGGCACGTTATCTCAATGACTTTCAGTTTAGGGTTGGGGTATCGGATGGTACTGAGACCATTTTTCATAGTGCAAACATTGTGCTAAGCAAGCGATACTCAGATGGTTCTCTGGCTATGTTCACGGTAGATTTCTCAAATGATTTCAACATGGTAGATAGATCAGCCCTATTGCATGAGGTGGGGGTGATATGCCCGTCTATTTCTTTGTGGGTTGATTTTCTTTATGGCCAAGCAGCGAGATTGTACCTTGAGGATGAAATATCATGTTAGCCACTAGAGTGCAACAAGGTGACCCGTTAGGGTCGCTTCTTTTTGCTCTTGTGTTACACTCACTCATTCATCAGGTTAGAGACAATTGTAAGCTTATTCTTCATGCATGGTATCTTTATGATGAGACTATCATAGAGGATTCACAAGAGGTGACTAAAGCCATTGACATCATTCGGGAGACATGTCCAAAATTAGGTCTCGAATTGAATATTGGTAAGACTGGGATATTTTAGACTTCATGTGATGGTAGTAAACTTTGTGAGGATTTATTCCCGTCAGATATTGGTAAGCCGATGTTAGGGATGAAGTTGCTTGGAGGGGCATTTAGTCAATATGATAACTTTATTAAAGGGTTGTCCATGAAGAGAGCTTATAGGGCTATTGAGCTAATAAATCTTCTACCACACATAAGAGACCCTCAAAGTGAGCTTCTTCTAATTCGATCCTGCATGGGTATCGACAAATTGTTTTTGGCCTAAGAATGTGACTACCTAATCACATGGAGGAAGAATCTATTTGGTTTGATAAAGAGTTTTGAAAGGTGGTTGAAGGCATCGTGATTGGTGGAGGTCCTTTCTTCGGAGGATTAGGTTTGTACTCGTCAGTAGAGGTCGTCTCATAAGCTTTTGTGGCTTCTAGGGGCCAATCTTGGGTGTTACAGGATCATATATTGCGATACATTGTGGTATATGGTATGGACTCAGATTTCAATAGAGCTTTGAATGATCTTAGGGTTGCAATTCCATATTTTTACCTTAGAAATTTTACTTGCAATGACATTGTGCCTCCTAGACTACAACATGTTTTGGCGAGTAAACTTTTTAGTATAACTGTTAAGGACATGGATGTAAAGTTTGCCATGACAACTACACAAAAAGATGTTTTTGGTTGTTTGCAAGCCGCACATGCTCAAGACCTTCTCCTTGCTATTTCTATTGATGGGCTAGGTCAACCTATGTCTCTGGTGGAGTATCATACTATCCTAATAAAAAGCCTTATGATTCCTTTATTTCCTATTGATAGGGTTTTCTCTATTTTTCGTAAGACGTGTTTAGATACATTTGGGGAACACACATGATAGGAGCTTATATGCTTCAAATACCGACATGACCTTTTTAGGGATGTATTATTTGATATATTTTGGCAGATCGGAGTATCAGTAAAGAAAGAGGAACCTATGAATTTCTTAACTAATCCATATGAGGGGCGATCGAAGCTTAGGCCAGCAGATATTCTGGTGTATGGATGGGTAGGAGGAAAACATGCTTATGTGACATGACTGAAGTTTCTCCACTGGTGGGACTGAGGACTGGAGGTTTTACGGTGGAACATGCAGCTCTCAAAGCTACTTCAAGTAAAGTGGTCAAACATGAGAAACCGTGTTTTGATAATCAACACGTATTTATACCATGAGTAAATACATTGTGATTGATAAAAATCTACCTGAGATTAGTATTCTGATAATTCAACTAACAAGCCAGTAATGAGCTATAACTTTGATGAAGAAACTGACAAAGTCGAAGTTGAAGAAATCGCCAATATTCTAGTCGAAGCAGTTGCTAACATTTCCGACAAAGTCGAAGTTGAAGAGGGTGTGGCTAGCACAAGCCAAATACCTCAAAGAACTAGAGTTCGTCCAACAAGACTTCAAGACTATGAAGTGACTGGTGATGATGAAGTCACACCAGATGAAGAATTAGTTCATTTTGATTTACTTGCAGGTGCTGAACCAATCAACCACGACGAGGCTTTAAAGAATAAACAGTGGAAGTCAACTATGATCGAAGAGTTACAGGCAATCGAAAGGAACAACACATGGGATAGTCGATTTTCCAGCACACACAAACTCTATCGAAGTGAAATGGGTGTTCAAGTTAAAGCACAATGTTGATGGGCCGATAGCAAGATATAACGTGAGATTGGTAGCTCGAGGATTTCTTCAGAGATCAGGACTCGATTACTCTGAAGTATTTTCACTTGTCGCAAGATTAGAGACTGCTCGACTAGTGGTAGCCTTGGCATGCATGCAAGGTTGGTCGACATTTCACTTAGATGTGAAATCATCATTTCTAAATGGTCCCTTATACGAAGAGGTCTATGTTACACAACCTCCTAGGTTTTTGATTCAGGAGGAAGCGAGTAAGATGTATAAGTTACACAAAGCTATAAATGGCCTCAAACAGACCCCTAGGGCATGGAACAAGAATATCGACTCATACTTAGTCAAATTGGGATTCATCAAATGCAAATCTGAGTATGGTGTCTATGTTCAAGTTATGGCACAAAATATAACAATCATTTGCTTATATGTTAATGACTTGCTGGTAACTGGAAATATCCTGGAGAACTTGTCGAAGTTCAAAGAGCTGATGATGAGAGAATTTGAAATTTCGTATCTGGGAAAATTGTCTTATTTCCAAGGTATGGAATTTCAAATTTTGAAGCAAGGTATGGTGTTATATCAAAGGATGTATATCAAAGAGATACTCAAGAGATTTAGAATGGATGATTCGAATCCCGCATCTTCGTATGTCAAACCAAATTTAAAGTTGGAGAAGCATGGAGAGGAAGGCAAAGTCGATGTAACTTTGTTCAAACAAATTGTCGAATCTATGAGATATGTGTGCAACAACTGACCTGATATAGGTTTCGTAGTCAGATACATGGGTGAACCAAGGGTGTCACACATGAAGGCTTCCATAAGAATCCTGAGAGGCTTAAAAGGATCAATAAACTATGGAATTCTATTTCGATGAGACTCTAAAAGCAAAGAAGCTACAGCTATTTGTTATTTAGATGCTGATTGATGTGGAGATAAGGAAGATCGAAGAAGCACAATTAATTATTTCTTTCAAGTCTTTGGTGCCCCAATCTCATGGTGCTCGAGAAAGCAGCCTGTGGTGGCATTGTCATCGCGTGAGACTGGATATATAACAAGATCCTATGATACATGTTAAGCAATTTAGACCAGATCTGTGCTGGAAGAGATCGAGGTCGAAGTAAAGAAACCTCTGGTGTTGCAGATTAACAATAAGTCAGCCATTAATCTTGCAAAGAATCCAATTCTGCATGGGAGGAGTAAGCATATTGAAGCTATATTTAACTTCTTAAGGGAGAAGATAAATCGAGGTGAACTTGAAGTAAGGCATTTTTCTCAATTGAAGCACAGTTGACCGACATTTTCACCAAAGTATTGAAGATTGACAAATTTTTGAATTTGAGAAAGAAATTAAGAATAGTTCAGATCGACTATGATTAGTGTATGTTCGACAACTTGGATTATAGGGGGTATGTTGAGATATAAGATATAATACAAGTTGAGTAATTCAAGCTCAAGCCTAATTATAGTTTGTTAGTCCACTTAGTATACAAGTTAGTTGTATATAAATAAATATAGTTTGTAATTCAGTTTGTATAATTCAATTCAATAATATAATCTTTATTTTCTTTATTCTCTCACTCTTTCTCTCTTTACT